ATATATATATATATATTGGTGCACTTAAAAGAACCCATATTTTAAGACAAGTAGGGGTTACTCCGGTGTACTGGTCCATTCAGTTCTTTGTGGACAGACAAAAGTAGTTGGTTCCAGTCTACTCTCAGACAAGAAGTGACCCATAGAAGAGAAACTAGTTACCGTACGAGCTAGTCCACACCTCGCTTCGAGAGCTTTGAGACCGTTTCGGTATAAAGCGCTATAATACCTACATTAAATTTGGTGTCGATAATAAGAACTTAAGTATTACATTGGTAGTATGTGAAATACGTAGGCCTAGTCTTAAGCTATTATGTGTTAAACTTACGAATATAAAATATATTTGTACAATGAAACAGTTCAAGAACTTATTCTCCATCTTACAAAGAACAAAACAGCATTCACCCAACCATGACCATCTATTATTACTGAAAGTAGGTAATGGTTTAGAAAGGAATTTTAGAGGATTAATTGTAGTCAGTCTGGCAGGCTATAGGTACATGTGCATCATTTACACCTGTGCTTAAGTTTGCCATGGTGTACCACAGGGGTAAACTCCCTACGATGACCTTCAGCTGGAGCCTATATTTTTTGGTTTTCGTCGGATACCTCGCTGTCACAAATGCAAGTCATTTTCGCTTTGCAACATTTAGCTGGAAACCGGTAGGACCAATAGTCAACAGTATGCAAACGGTTAGTATCCAGGCTATTTTTACTTCTTTTTTTTGATTGAACCGATTACCCTAAAACGAATTAGGCCTATTATGATTTCTTAAGAAGTATTTAAGGCCTACCCCCTTGCTAAACCAAACGTAGTGTATATACAGTTTCCTTGCTGAAACTATAGGTATTAGAGCAAGCCCATCTCCTGTTGAAACTAATAAGGCCAGTTTCCGTCTTTGCAGCTGAACTAAGTGCAATTTACATTATGAATAGACCTATCGGTACCTGACTCTGGTAGCTGGAACTGTATCAAGAGTAGACTTTACAATACCTACTTTATAGAACCAACGGGTAGGAATGTCTATACCAGATTGTTCTTGCTGAAACCCATAGTCCACCATCTAGAGCCAGCTAATCCTTAGTAACCCTGCCTCCTTAAGTTGCTGCTTAAACCAAGGGTTGTTTAATTATTATAGCAGGACTCTTCTTGCTAGAAATAACGACAGTGATGGAACCAAGGGCATCTCTGGTACTTCTGCCTTCTTGCCGAACCAAAAATAATTTATACAGCTTCTCTTTGCTGGAACAGGGTCGAAGAATTATAAATCAACTACAAAAATAAAATTTAATCTTTCATATATACTCTATATATTGTTCCACTGTTCTTTGGAGCTTTGATCTATTATCTCTCCCCTTTATTCCACGTCTTACTCAGGTCAACACGAGCTTCTTTACTGTTCTACACCCACCTTTCGTACCTTATTTCATTCAAACTCATTCATTCTCAGAAGTGCTGTTCTTTGAAATAAAATTCGACCAGTTGTGTTTCAATCGAATCAATCTACTCTCTATTTCTTAATTTTCTTTGCCTGTACTGTATAGGTTTTACATTTTCTAGCCATCACAAGTAAAATACATATATA